TGAGGTGCTTCCAGCTTACGAATCCTCCTCTTGTGCTTCAGTTTACTCAGTAATTGCCTCTGACAGCTGGTTTTAAAAACCACATGAAGATCTGCAACCTCCCTCCTCCCATACCCCATAAAATGTAGTATTTCCCTCCCCTCCACAGAAAAAAAAAAAAATTAAAATGTCAAAATATATAATTCTCCTTAGTCTCAAAGTAACAGCTGCAATTTATCACATCGTTCCTTTTCTTCCATCTCCTTTGGTCAACAGTGCCACTAAAAAAAGTACCCAGACCAGGTAACAGGAGAGGCCTACCCCCAAAGTGCCAAAGGGAAGAAGATGAAGCCAGCACCGGGTACTGCCTATAGGAGCACAGGGTGGTTAAGCACTTATCAGCTGCATTCCTCCATTCCTTTGGGAACGACTGAATCCCGGCAGGAAGATGCCAACAGCTCGGGAAAGGAAACCACTTCTTGCTAGGCCACGAGAAACCCAAGTCCAGGCTGCGGGGAAGGCGACTCCTCACAGGTCACCCTGCGCTCCGACAAAGGGAAGTCTCCGTTAGCAACCAGAGGCAGCCCCAAGTCCGTGGGAGCGAGGGTAGGGCAGACGGGACCAGCCCCACGGCCTGCCTCGCACCTCTCCACCCCGCCCCTCCCCACCCTACGCCCTCACAACCACCACCACCAAAACAACAACAACAGCAACAGCAACCCAGACGGGAGCCGCTTCCCACGACCGAGGCCCAGCGACCCCCGCAGCCCACCGCGCTCAGGAGAGGCCCCCGTTTAACCCCCACCCAGCCCTTCGGGGCTCGCCGCTGGGCCGAGGCGCCCGCCCTTGCCCTCGGGAGGGTTGGAGGGGCCCCGCCGGGCCGGGCCGGGCCGGGCCAGGCCAGGCCAGGCCGGTCGGGTCCCGCCGACGGCTCCTCACCGCCCGCTCGGCCCCCGGGGCCGCCCCGCGCCGGCGCACGCGCGCGCCGGGCCCCGCTCGCGCCACTCTCGCGCACGCACGCACACACGCGCGCGCCCCCCCGCCCCCCGCACGCGCCGACGTCGGCCCCGCCCCCTCGACGTCAGCGGCAACACAAGCCGGGACAGAAGCGAAAGCAGCCTCTGAATAAACAAACGTAAATCCCCTCCGGCTTCTTTCTGTGCCACTGGTTGGCGCCTGTGGCGGTGGTGCCACAAGCGTGCGTGTGGCTAGGCGGAGGAACAGGACAGGCAGCTTTCCCCGCCGCTCTGCAGGGGTCACCTGCCCGTCCGCAGAGCCCCTCAGCCAGAGGGGTTTCCTCCTTGGCGCTGGCGTCCTGCTTGGAGGCCCTCGCCGGCGGTCTGAACACTGTGGGCTCGCATGGCCAGCAGGCGTAGGGGTTTTCTGTAGGGAGCCCTAGGCAGTAGGGGCGGCGGGGTCCTTTGCGAACCTCGGGAGCTGGCGGCACGACGCGCCGGGACAGGAGGTCCCGCGGACTGCAGGAGCAGGCGCACTCCCACCCTGCTCCATTGGTTGACACAGTTATCAGTAAAAAATCTCCTCTTTCTCATTGGCTAGTCCGAGAGAATGCCCTCCTACCAGGGCGGGCTCTGTTGCAGCACTTAATCCCACCCACGCCTTTGGGATCCCTTATTCGATTGGCTATTGAGGTTGTTTGTCAGGGAGCCCAGGTCTCCTATTGGACAGCGGACCCCGGACACGTCGAGAGGGCTCTGTTGTGTGTGTGTATGTGTAGAAAACAAGCCGAGCTGGCAGTGCGTCTCCCATTGGCTTCGCGCGCTTCGAGGAGGCGTGGCCTCTCCTCATGAATAACCACTACTCCACCCACTCTCGTCATGGCAACATGCAAATTTAGCCGCTGCGCCGCCGGTGATTGGCGGGCGCCGCCTTGGCGGGCCCGGGGGCGGTGTCGGGGCGGAGAGCCGGGCAGGGAAGGGAAGATGGCGGCGGCGGAGCGGAGCAGATCCCCGGTTCCCGGGGGGTCCCCGGTGCCGGCCTGTATGTTCGCCCCGGAGCCCGGCTCCCCGGGCGGCCGGCCTCGCGTGGCGGCGGCCGCCTGTCCTCTCCGCGCAGCCTTCGACGGCGAGGACGGCGAGGCGCTCAACGGCGAGCCCGAGATCGACCTCACCAGTAAGGTAGGCCCGGCGGGGGGGCGGGCGGCGGCGAGCGCCATCACCCCGCCAGGCCCCCGCCGCTCTCCTCCTTGCCGGTCGGCCGTGCGCGGGGGGGCTGCCCCCGAGCCTGACCGCTCCCCTGCACCCCTCGCAGGAGAGCGAGAGGCGGGGGCCCGCCTGCCTCCGCCGGGACGGGAGGCTCCCCTGAGCGCTCCGCCGGCCCCAGCATCACCTGGGCGGGCGGCAGAGCCAGAGGTGCCGTGTGGAGGCGGTCGGGAGAGGCGCAGCAAAGTTGTCCCGTACCCCGGCCGGGACTGGACGGGGCTGGCAGGCTGCTCCGCCCTGCGCCTTCCCCGCCTGGGCTGCTCGGGGGGAACGCCAGCCCGCAGCCGGTGTAGCAGCCTCAGGAAGCGCAGGGTTTGGAGCTGTCAGCTGCTGCAACGTCCCGCTGACGTTTGCTCTCCGCGCTGGGTCTCTGTAGTTATCTCTGCTGCCAGTTGTACTAGTTCCTGGGACTTTCTCCACAATCTTAAAAGGAGGTCAGAGCTTGTAACTTTTGAGCGCAAGAGCCCAGCGACAAGGATGCTTTGATCTTGCAAACAGGGTTAAGTCAACGCAGAAAAGGCTTGTTCACCTTTTGCAGCTCCTTTCTAGGAACCCAGTGACAAAACTGTGTGGTGGTCTTATTTCTGTCAGAACCATTCTCGCTTCCATCCTGCAGGAAGGTACATTGTAGTAATATGTGTGTGCCAGAGCCTGCCACAGACTTAGTTGCCTTCTGTCACTGTCTTCTATTTTTTTTCCCAGTTGGCTGATCTCTTTAACTGTATGCCTTTTGCTGCCACAGGTTTGGTGTACTGTGGTGCTATCTCCCACTCTAAAGTCTCCTGAAAACTTCATTTGATCCACTTGTAATTATGTGATCCAGAAGTCAGCATAGCTGTTACTTCCTCCTAGTTTTCTGTCATGCCTCCTCTTCATGCTTCCAGCTTAAGTTGTTCTAGAGTCCTGGACTTTCTTGCCCTCTATGCACAGAGAAGGAAAGAGGAATTGTGTCTGTGGACTTGGAAACCTTTTTCTTTTTAATGGCTATTTTACAGTATGGTACTGTATTAAATGTTACAAAGATGTCTTGTAAGATAGTAAAGAACAGAAATCAAACCTGTAGTATCTATTGATCGTGCCTTAATGAGCTGGACAAGATTTTTATACAGGATGCCAATATTGATCTGTGCTTTGTCTTGGATGTGACTGCTGTGGAAGAGAGCCAAGGAGGATGCCAAGGACTGCATCATTGATTCTTGACAGCCAGGAACCTGACCAAAACTCCAGCAAAGAGAGAAGAGTGCTTTTCTCCCACAAACTCCCATTTGTGATGTCAGTCTGTCTTCCATTCCTAGAAATCTGGAGGTGCTGTGGAAGTGGTAGGTAAGCATTTTTTTGACCTTTATTAGAATTTACTTTTCCAGACAGCACTGTGCATCTGCTGTCTTTTCCCTGGACTTTTCATTCATCCCCACCTTGGATGAGAGCTGAAACTGTGAACTCTGCTCCATCTTTTTGAGTTAATCTACCACTGTGTGTTCAAAACAGCAATCCCATATGGTGAGAATGCAGTAGCTAACCTGACTGCCCCCCCAAGTCTTTTCTGTCCTCCCAGTTGAATTGTTCCACTCCAGTCCCTACTTAAAACGGGGACTCCCACTGCAATCAGTTTGTTTGATAGTTGCTAGTTCTGTCCTGGTCCTTCTGACCCACCCCTGGCTGTGTCAATACTTTTCCCTGGTCCTTTCCCTGTGTGTAAGGTGAACTCTTTTTAGAGAGGAACACTTTGGGATTCTGTTATCAAGTGCACCTTGTCAGCTGGTCAGCGAAACAGTTCTATTCATCAGCACAAATTCATTACCATGTTGATCTTAATGGATGTTTGTTTTTCCTTCAGTGCCAGCACACTGCAACAGCAATCAACTCTCAGGTCAAAAACCATAGCACACAAGGCTATTAGTGAAGCTGATACTTACTTTAGATCTACATTGACAACAGAACATAATGGCACCTGAACAATGAATGACTACAGGGCATAGAAAACAAAATATGACACTACAGAAGGTGCCTTTCCCCCAGCTCCTCGATGGCTGATGGTGGCTTTCCAGCTGTGCAAAATGACAGGCTCCCTTTTTCCAGTAAAGGGCAGCACTGTGTACCAAACATAGGGTTTGCCCCTAATACTTATAGTTTGTCTGCCTCATGCAGGCAGGCAAAGCCACCTCTCCCCAGAGACTGGGAAGGGATTTGAGAGATGGCATTTTGACCTTGTGAGATGTTTCCTTCTGCTGTCTTAAGAATAAAACAATAACTGGTTGTCACTTTTTTGCCCTATAGGAAACCATGAGGTTGCTAGACTTGCATGGCTCCTACTGATAACTACTCAGTGCCTGACAAAGTGGAAAGAACAAAAGCGGACATTTTTGACTTTGTGAAAGCCTCTTCAAAACATGCATTCATAGTGCAGGCATGGAGGGGTTGCTCAGAGGTGAAAAGCAATAAAAAAGCAGAAGAACCAAAATGGAGGGCTTCTCTTCGACCAAGGAGATGACCGAGGACAGGCTCTCTCCATCCAGGAAGCTAAAGAGATCTTCAAAACAGCACATCATGTGTTGCAGTGACCCAGGAAACCACACAGCTGGCTGGGGCTGTGACTGCAGAAATAGTTGTCAGAAATGCTGAGTGTCATTGGAAGGTGTGATCCATGAAAGCTGCTGTTTTATCTCCAGATACTTCTCTTGGTGTCCTACTGTGTCATACAAGCTGTTGACTTCATGGGCTGCGGAGTAAACTTTGGAGGCAGTCTGCTGCTGGAACACCCTTCAGGAGCCCCTGTGCATGGCAGTGAAAGCAGCAGTGTGGGGGAACAGTGTTGTGGGCTGATATCAGTGAGCCTGTGCTGTTTGAGGCCCCCAGCCCTCCTGCCTGGCCGAGGAAAGGGTACAATGAGCTGCTGTGTGCCTTGGTACTTGCTACAGCACCCTGCCTGCTCACACTGCTGAAGCACTTGGACTCAGAAGAACAAAGCTGGTGATGGGACTTGAAGAAACTGAAGTTAGTTTGCCCTGCTCTGGTGGCCCCAGCTATTTTATTGATCTTTGTGTGTGTTAACAGCCTGTTTAATAGATCTTTCTGAGTCTCTGGCTTGTGCTAGTGCACTGGCCTAAAGAGTGAGCTTGTCTGCTGTGCACCCAGGTATTCCTGAAAGTACTTGCAGGGCAAAATGAGCCCTACACATCAAAACCCAGCCTTCCCTTCCTGCCCAGATTGAGCCTCAACAGTTGCTGATTTCTCTCTCAGTGCATTTACATCCAGTGGTTTCCCTCAAGAAGAAAATGAAACTAAAAGGAAAACAGAACTGAAAGACAAAACTCATTCTTTTATAGCATGAAATAGAAAGACTGTGACCTTGCTGAGCAGAGTGCTTTGGTACACTTTGCAGACCATGCCAAGTAGTTGAAAGGCTTAGGTAGGGCATGTGTCCAAAAGGGGCACGTGAAGGTGATTGTATCTCTTGTAGCTGTCTGGCCCTTGCAGACACATGCCTGCTGTCTGGGACCCTTAACATCTGTGGAAAAAGTTGCTTTGGCAGCCTTAAACCTTCTAACCAGCACCTGCTGTCTGTGCTTCTGTCTCCAAGCATCATCACTATGGTTTTGGAAATCTGCTTCAACATTATTTGTGAGGGGTTGGGTTCCTTCACATTCTAGATTTCCAAAAAGGCCTTCATCAAGGGTGTAATAGTGGTGGTAAAGGCAGTTTCTCCTTGAAAACACATTGTGTTAACTGTGCTAAGCAAGTCAGGCTGTGTTGGGGCACGTTAGGCAGACTTGAGGATGTTATTGTCAACTGCTCTAAACCATATATTTTAGGCAAACATCTAATTTAGCACAACTTTCAGTCTCAGTGCATAGTGAAGGGAAGTGCTTCTTTCTGGGTGTGATTTTTGGGACGTGTATGTAGGGACAGCTGTGGATGTCACTGAGTGTTGGCACAGGTGTGCCTACCCTTAGGGCTCTTGGTGGGTGTCAGCCTTTAATAACTTACTAAAAGTGCCTTTTTCACAGAAATCTGTATCAATTGCTACAGCTATCAGGCTACTGCCCAGGGATGCTCAGCCAGCAACAGATTTGTAACCATGGAGGCAGCCAGAGAGCAGGTAGAGTGGCTGAAGGAGGTCTCCTTGGTCTGTCACTGCCATGCCACCATTGTGGCTGCTCTGTGCAAGTGTCCTCTGCTGTACTGTGTGAGCAGTGCAGGTTTCTGCCAGAAATGGTGCTGTTCCATTCTAGGAAAAATCATTCCTGAAGCATTCTCTTGTCCTCATTTCCTGCTTTGTTTCTGTTTTATTTTTTCATTCCCTTGTTCCTGCAGGGAAGGGCAAAGGAAGTTTGATTATTGCAATAGCTGCAGTCAAAGTTTGTTGGTAGCACAGCTGCTGGCCTACAAAACTGCAGCTCTCCATTGCTGAAACCTGCAGATGTGCTCATACAAATTGCTTTTGCATGTCTGCCCCTCAGCACCGTTGTGTAAAGTATCTAAAATTTGAAAATAATGCTTATTTGTGTTCTCTTCTTTCCTTCTGCCCCCTCAGAAAACAGAAGGGGACATCAAATATGTGAAAGACTTAAAAGATGCCCTGGATTTTGGTGCCCAGGTGTTATCTGCAGTGAGGTCTGGTTGACTTTCTCTGGCTGTCCAGTCATGCTTCAGGGGAGCAGCAGCACTCTTTGCAGCAGAGATTGTGGTACCCAGCTAAGGAATTTCTGTGGAGAAAATATCTGCTCCCCTTTCTGTTTTCCTTGAATGAAAACATATTGGAGTGTTCACTTAAATGTGGCTTTTAAACACTGGTTACATCAAAATGAGATGCTTGGTATTCTTACTTGCTTTGAAGTGTATTTTCCTGCATAAATGAACTCTGAGCTCAGACAAACAACCTTATGCAGTCTCACAAGGAAGTAGCCGTCAGCAAAACTGGTTTAAAAAACAAAACAAAACCACCACAAAGTGGTCCTGGGAAAAGAGTCCTTCTCTTTCAATAAAGCACATAGATTGATTGTGCTTGTAACTGAAGCTGGTTTTGAAATTGTTTGCCTGACATCTGCAAATAGATATTCTTTTTTTTATTCCAGCTGGTGATGGTGAGTCCAACTTCAGAGCAGTATGACAGTTTGCTCCAGCAGATGTCAGAGAGGATTGATGAGGGATGTGGGGAGACCATCTATGTCATTGGACAAGGATCAGGTGAGTATAGCTTCCTCAGCAAAACAACAAAAAATTATTAAAATTATAAGAAAAACATGGTTCATCTAACTAGACTGCTGCTGAAGTTAATGCTTACTTCTCCAGAATGACTTGAAAATGTTCATAAAATATAGCAGAATATGTGGGACAGATTATTTTGTTTTATCCCTGCCGACAACTGTCTCATGTAGTGGAGCTAAATATATTTTTTTTATAAAATCATGCAAGTTCTTTTTTGGAAATAATGCATATCTTGTCTGAGCACACCAGGAAAAGACAAAGAGTCTAAAATTATAACAACAGCTTTAGTACAAGTGTCTTCAATGTCTGTGAAGGTCTTGTTCTGTCTGATTTTGTTCACTGCTCTGTTGGAAATAACATATTTTTACTCCACAGGAATTTATGATAGATACTTCACATAGCCAAAATATATGCTGCTGACTTTCTGTGGTAGTATGTGTCTGCTATGGAGGGAAAGGTTTTCTTTTGCTCAGCATGAGACCTTTACTGTCACATTAATTTGCGTGTGACTGCAGTCATTTGTCTTTGCAGATTTTAGCAGTTAGCATGGATTACATTTTTGTTCATTTTGACAATTCGAGTATTTGCATCTGATGCTGGTAAATGCTGGTAAAGGGCAAAGCATGCCCTTGCTTTGAAATAGAAATTTCTGAATATCAAATAATTGTCTATGGTTATCATAAGGCAAAAGACATGTTTCAAGAGCACTGGATATCTACTGAATATGAAGTTGTCATGATCAGACAGTTGCTGTGTTTGAGGAGGAGTATGAAGCCGTGCCAGGATTGGCTGAAATAATGGAGAGAGGTAGCTGTGTAACCCCAGAACTGTGTGCTTTTTGGGTTTTCTTGGAGTTTTGTGAAGCAGCCAACATAGAGGAGAAGCCAGAATTAGATGGCCAGTGTTCATGCAGCCAGGGATTATTCTCTTGCCTCCAAGCAAGCTTCCCACATGTAGACTATATCCTTGGTGTTTGGGATAAGCACATCTGCAGTGGAGATCTAGCTAGTCAGGCTAGTACCTGCTTTCTTTTCTAGGATACCTTGTGAGAGTGTTAGCTGGTAGTTGTCGCAGTGATTCACTTAGAAATAGGCGTTTGTTTCTTAAAACATGCGGTTAAGCTTCTGACTTCATTTTGGGTTGCAGTGTAGTCGAGGAAGATGGGGAGATTTTCCAGGATCTTGGTATCTCTACCACTGTCACTCCTTCTCATTCCCTTTTAGCATGTGTGATTTTGATCATCCCAGATACCCAACTCAGCTGACTGAGAAGCAATTGAAGACTGCCATAGGAAGATTATTAGTTCAGCAGTAGTGACCTTTTCCCTTTCTCCCCTGGGCTTTGCTATCTCCTGTCCCCTACTTCTCGTTTCCCTTCTATAATCCAAGGCTTGTTTTAGTTTTCCTCCGTCTCAACCAGTTTATGAGCCAGGTTGGAAATTGCCCAGTAACTCAGCTAGTTTTAGAGCTGGGCAGTAATTAAAATGCTGATAAGTTCATGCAAACTGCAGTTCCTGCTTACCAGCCGATGAGTCAGCCATGCATGTGAACATGTACACATGGCAATAACTTTGGTCATCTGGGTGCAGTGTGGCTCTCCACCTTTGTTTGTTGTTTTTTGGGCTTTTTTTACCCACAGAAGAGATTCTGGGGTCAAATCTGTGCACCTTCACAGCACCTGGATTGGGAAAGAGATAATGATGGCCTTGACCCTGTCTAGATAGTTGCCACTGGCATGCTCTGTCATCTCTTTGGCTTGGGTGAGCTGCTCAGAGGAAGCAGTGCCACATTTACTGGCTAATTGTGGTGATGCTTGACTCAGAGCTTTCCTTTTGTTAATGCTTTACCTCTTCTTGCAATGTGAGAGGAGATACTTTATCTGACTGAAGGACACAAAGTACCTTCAGCCGGTGAAGTAAGGGAATTAGACAGAAATGTGTCTTTGTTGCCAATTCCTACACATTTGCTTGTAAAGATTGTGAAGAAACCTCCTCTAGATTAAAGATGATAGTCTTCTAGTGTCTTTTAGGACTTAGAGTGAAGACCATCCCTTTTTATTTTGGGCCAAGGGTGTTTATTCTGTGTACATGGCTGACACCTCCGGTCCACATATAAATCCCGATGGGTATGAAGGTCGCAGGCAGGATGACAGTGCTCTGCCTGTTGCAAGGTGGTGCTCACTGCCTGCCTTTGTCTCCCCCACACCACACCAGATGGGACTGAGTACGGGCTGAGCGAGGCAGACATGGAGGCGTCCTATGCCACGTTGAAGAGCATGGCAGAGCAGATCGAGGCAGACGTGATCCTCCTGAGGGAGCACCAGGAGGCCGGGGGCAAGGTGCGCGACTACCTGGTTCGGAAACGTGTGGGTGACAACGACTTCCTGGAGGTCAGGTGAGGAGCCGGGTGGAGACAGGGTTAGTCAGCAACTCAGCTGCATTTTTACCCTGTGAACAGTGCGTGCTGCTGAGCCAGCAACGCCGCTTCAGGTCTGGGTGTTGGAGCTACCCAACAAAGGGAGTCGAGCTTGACCACTCCTTGCTGATGAAATTGCCTTTTTGTTGTTGTTGCTGTCTCTTTTGTGAGCAAACTGTTGGTGGAAATTTGCCTGTGTTCAGCAGAGGGCTGGGTGACAGCTGGCTGGCTCTCTGGGTGACAACCTCACAGTTGGGGGCATCTTTTAGTATGCTGGGTTGCCAGAGGACGTGTGCACATGTGGCTGGTATGTATGTGTATATATGCACACTGCTGGAACACAATACTTTTGACAAAGGATCCAGTTTGTTCCTAGGCTGTGATGATCCAAGTCACATTTTAATGGACTATACTATCTTTATGTAACATGACTTGAGAGTCTGCCCAGACCTACATAGAGAGGATTTCCAACATTTGCCAACAGCCATAATAGCCACATTGATCAAAGAAGGAACTTGCTGTAGGACATGGCTTTCTCCTAAAATATTTCACTTTTTTTTTTAGCTTATCCTTTTCTGGGAACAACGATTTTAATTTTTGTGCTCTTCTTAGCGGTTGGTGCTGTTGCAACATAAGAAATGTGAGAAAGGCAGAGGTGTTCTATACCAAGTTGGGATTTAGTTTTCCTTTTGAATTGCCACACTGTTTATGTTGGATTGCAGAGACAAAGAGTTGGAATAGAGACTCTGTGTGGCATCAAGCAACGTCACATCCAGTTGACTATGTTATGGACACCCGTGACAGTGTTTCCACAATCTTCCACATCCCAGTCCCCAGAGTCTGGGATCTCTGCTCTTAGTTAATAACTGTAAAAGAATCTCTGCTCTGCTTGTGAGGCTCTAACATTTTTTAATCCCTGTTTGAAGGATGGGGAGCAAAAGCCAGTTATTTGCAGGAGCAGTGATGTTTGGGTTTTTTGGCTCACTTGTTCATTTGTTCAGATACCATATTTTACCAGGCTCCTTCTCCTTTCCCCTGCAGGGTAGCAGTAGTTGGCAATGTGGACGCAGGGAAGAGCACCTTGCTGGGTGTCTTGACTCACGGCGAGTTAGACAACGGCCGGGGCTTTGCTCGGCAGAAGCTCTTCCGCCACAAGCACGAGATTGAGTCAGGCCGCACCAGCAGCGTGGGCAACGACATTCTGGGCTTCGACAGCGAGGGCAACGTGGTGAACAAACCTGACAGCCACGGCGGCAGCTTGGAATGGACAAAGATCTGTGAGAAATCCACCAAGGTCATTACTTTCATTGACCTGGCTGGTCACGAAAAATACCTGAAAACCACCGTCTTTGGCATGACCGGCCACTTGCCTGACTTCTGCATGCTTATGGTAGGTAGCAAGAAAGATGGACCATAGCAGCTGGAGTGGGGCTGTTCACAGCTTTAACAGTCTCAACTTCTTTCCTATTGCAAAGTGCCTGTGGGTTTTGGAGGGAAGCAGCATCTCACAGGAAAGCAGAAGCCTCTGTGGCTATCTGTCCTGTACTGTGAGGCAAGTGCCCCAGAACTGTCAGTCCCAGAGAGGCCCAAGGTTTGTGATTCTTGAAAATGGAAAGATTTCTGAATTTGAAAACTGAGGAGAAATGAGTCAGTCCTCTGCCAGTGTCCAGCAACATCTGAGATGAGCTGAGTCTGGTCATATGGCCCCAGTGGCGCATCTATAACTTAACCACAGTCTACTGCATGTCTGACACAAGGTCTTCTTGGTAATCCAGCTTACTGCAGCAGGAACGTTGACTTCCCTGTATTTTATATCCCTGGTGTAGGTTGGGAGTAATGCTGGGATTGTTGGAATGACCAAGGAGCACTTAGGCCTGGCGCTTGCACTTAACGTTCCTGTCTTTGTTGTGGTGACCAAGATTGACATGTGCCCTGCCAACATCCTGCAAGGTGAGTCGTACAGGCTCTTTCCAGGGCTGTTTCTTACCTTTGTGTGTTGCTGTCCTCTGCTTGGGTTTAGCAATTACTGATGGAAGAGAGCTGCTTAATCTGGTTCTGACTGCGTTCTAAACACCTTCCAGAAATCTATCCTTTTCCCTTGCTCATTTTGCAGGTGGTTGACTTACACTCACCATGTCAGACTTACCCACTCTGGGGACTCAGCTTAGCAGCCCAAAAGTGTTTGCTACAAGGTTTTGCTTAATTGAGCTCTAAGAAGAGCAGCATACAGTTGGGATTTGGGCTTTGCTTTCTCTCTGGATATTTAAACCTGGAGGGAAAGTCTGGAAGTTCTTTTGAAAGCTGCTTTCCTCCCTGCCCACAGTTTGAGTGTGATCTTAAGCTGTGATCGTGCTTGATCTCCCCCTGCTGTTGGTGAAGGGGCAGCTGCTTGTTACCTCCTGCTCACCTGGGCACTTCTCAGGTATGCTGGCATAACTACAGCAGCTCCTTCCTCTTGTCTGAACAGCCAACTAACACTTAATAAATCATGGTTTAAAGCAGCTACATATGCAGGCTGTGGTAGCAGGATGGGAGGCAGGACTAGACACAAGCAGGGATGGCAATAAGTAGCTTGGGCTAGTGATTTTTTTCTCAGCAGAATTAAAGAAGTAACTCTAACTCCAGCAGTATCCCATTAACCCATGCATGATGCTTTTTTTAGGCTGTGACCTATTCTCACTTTTAAAATTCTCTTTAAGCATTTCTCGTGCCTTCAGAAACATGCTGTGGTTAATTGGAGCAATGGGTTTTTTTGATAGTCAGTCCTAAGAATCAGAGAAGTGAATGCTCCTGGTACTATCTGTAGTTCAGTGTATTATTATAAAAATCCTAAATATGTTTCAGGCAAATAGATGCATGTGATCAGAAGATAATCTGTTTATCTCTATAATAGATGTTTGGCAAAAGAAATGTAAGGCCTGACCATAAGATAATAACTGGGAAGCAAGGAGAACCTTTGGCTCAGCATGAGGAGAGAAGAGCTGCTCTTGGGAGAAGCTACTCCTGTGACATGCTCTGTTTAAAGTAAATAGACTCAAGATTTGACTCAAGTATGCCTGTGAAGAGCAGATGGCCTGATTAGATGTTTGTGTTTCTGTATCCAAAACATTACTTTCCCATAGGCAATCATTTGTTTACAAAAACCCGTCTAATTGGATGACAATTGTAGAACATAAATGGTTTGCTCTTTTAAGCCCTTAGTACCTTTTTCTGGTTTTTCTTTATTTATTGTCAGGCACTTTGTAGGAGGTTGATACTAGTGCATCAGGTAATGCCCCTGCTGGCTGCTGGATATGAGGCTTAGAAAATAAGTTAAAAAGAGGCAAAAGCTGAAAATTTGGAGCCATGAGATTTGTCCCAAAACACTGATTTCTGAATGTGGTCCACCCACATTGTCCTAATCTGTGATGATAATCTTTACCTCTTTCATGCTTCTCCAGCCTCCTATGGCAAGTTGACTCCCAGGGAAAATGTATTGAGGTTTGTTTGGTCAAAATTGATTTGCAATTAGCATATTCTCAAATATTTCTGTGACTGAGTCGTGATTTTCAATTAATACACTGTGAAAAATCCTTTCTAGAAAGAGGAAATACCTTGTAACTGCTTAAAGCTACTAATAGACAGCTACAAAATGTCTACTTCAGAGCACTGCAAACTTGTCTGTCTGTTCATGTGTGGCGTCGCTTGGCAGCGGGCTAGCTGGCATGAAATAGAGGATGGAATGGCTCCTAAGTCCTGCCTGGGCTGCAGCAAACTCACAGTCTCACCTTTAGCCATCTTCTCCTGTCTTATCTGTGGCCAGAGCACCTGTCTCCCTGTGGGGAGAGACCCCACAAAGGTGATTTGTAAAGAGGGGAGATGCTGCCCTAACAATATTCATTTCACCCTTTAAGAAACCCTGAAGCTGTTACAGCGACTGCTGAAGTCCCCAGGGTGCAGGAAGATTCCCGTGCTGGTTCAGAGCAAGGATGATGTCATTGTAACAGCCTCCAACTTCAGCTCAGAGAGGTAACTGGAGTAGAGGAGAATGATTCTCTTTCAATCCTATGTGGAGACTGGGTGAGGAGATTCAGAGAGTCCCATTGTCTAGATGTGTGAAGATTGCATTTGCCATGTGGAGTGTGTTCCATAAGAGTGTGTTGATTTTGAGGTTGACCTGCTTGTGTTCCCCTCTCTGAGGCAGAAATGAGAGGCTGCTTCTGGGCAGTCTGCAGAAGACAGCAGGGCATTTGGTTTCCTTCAGTCCTTTCTTCAGAACCTTACACCTTTTCCCAAATGTCTTTGGAAGGCAGAGGCAATGTTGCAGGTTTTCAAACATGGGGTGTTGTGCATCTGACTGCTTGCCAGGCTCTCCCTTCCTAGCACAGAATATTGAATTAGTCCCAAGATTTTGGATGTCTCCCTACATGTGGAAAGCCAGGTAGGAAAGTGAACTAACTCCATTTTCATCAATTTTCCTTTACAGGATGTGCCCAATTTTCCAGATTTCAAATGTTACTGGGGAGAATCTAGATTTGCTGAAGATGTTTCTTAATCTCTTGTCTCCACGGACCAGTTACAGGGAAGAAGAGCCAGCAGAATTCCAGATAGATGATACTTACTCTGTCCCGGTAAGGATCCTGGTGTTTGGAAGAATATTGTGTTCCCTTTTTTAGGCTGAAGCAGGTATCTTCTCTAGAGAGGAGAGTTCTAGAGCTCTTCTGCTGGCCTGGTAGAGTAGCCACAATTACTTTTTTTTCTTTTTTGGCATAGGGTGTAGGAACAGTTGTCTCTGGGACGACGCTGAGAGGCCTAATCAAGCTAAATGACACCCTGCTGCTGGGGCCAGATCCCCTTGGCAACTTCCTCCCTATTGCTGTCAAGTCCATCCACCGCAAGAGGATGCCCGTCAAGGAGGTGCGGGGAGGCCAGACTGCCTCCTTTGCCTTGAAGAAGGTGAGGTGATCCCCTCCAGACCCCCAGAGCAGGAACTGTCCTCCTAATTTTAGACTGTTCAAGAAGATCAGCTGCAGTAAGGCTGTTTCTGCAAACATCAGCTGCCTCATGTTGCAGTGGAATGGAATCCCATACAACCTCTGTGGTTCCACATCCTGGTTTTTCCTCTTAGCAGCTGCCAGGGGATAGCAATGCGACTAGATAATGATGTTGGAGATATCTAAGAAAGTGGAGGAATTGCAAGAAAAGCCTCCTTTTGTTCTGGAACTGCATTAGTCACCTGCACAGTGTATTTACACTACTCCACTTGACTTGTAGGGTCAGCTGCATGATTTGGGATTTAAAAATCAGCAAAATTTGATATGACTCCTCTTGCAAAAGGAGGAGTCAATCTTCACTGATTTTAAGGGGATATAGTTTAACTTACACCATACTTCATGTGATCAGGCTTACAATGTTATATTAACAAACATCATGATTTATGAGAGATTTCCTTGGATAATTTGCAACCAGGATGTATGTTTTGCTTTTCAAGGATCAATGAGGTAAATGTGTCAAGAGTCCAGCATTTCCAGTACTCTAAAGCTGCCTTTAAACTTCAGCTGAATTTGATTTTTGCAACCTTTACATGATATTGTATACACAACATACAGTTCTGCAGCTCTTGATTTGCCTTTTACTGGGCATGAGGTAGTATCTGTGAAATCCCTTAGGATTCTGCTGGATGCAGTCAGCCAGAGCAGCAGATTTCTTCCCCAGAGAATCATGCTAAGGTTTCTTGTGTCTCTGCATTTCAGATCAAGCGTTCTTCCATCCGGAAAGGCATGGTAATGGTGTCACCCCGCCTGAATCCACAAGCGTCGTGGGAGTTTGAAGCAGAGATTCTGGTGCTCCATCACCCCACCACCATCAGCCCACGATACCAGGCCATGGGTACGTGTGTCAGTTTTGGATTGTCTTTGTTTCCCAGTGGTAGCATTTTGTATCTGATCTAGCCTAAGACAATTTTGCTCCTGATGTCTCTGCCAACCTGAATATATGCCGTAGTTCCTGGTTTTGCCTTTCCCAGCATTGTAGAAGGGAGAGGGAAGGGAGCTTACAGAGGAGAGTGGGATGGCTATAAGGTAAAAAGGAGATGTGTGCTCTCAAATGTATCTGGAGCCTACCTGTGCTGTATCTCCATGGTGCAAAGATTCTTCACTTTCAAATGCTGATGGAAAGTGCTGATGGAAGTGCTGGTGCTCATTTTGGGTCCTGTCCTCCAGCCCAGCTGCTTGGTGTGTAGGATTCTGTTGAGGGTGCTTCAGGAAAGGCAGGATTTGAAAGCAGCTGTTCTAGCTGATGTGCATGTTCTTTTTGAGGATGGAACAAAGGCAGCTGCGTGACCCATACAGTCTTTGCTGTAGGGTGAGGAGCTGCCTCAGATGTGTCTCTGAAGCTTGTTCCACTAATGGGCCTGGCTGCTGAAAGCCTGTGTGCTTTACATTCACAGTGCATTGTGGCAGCATCCGTCAGACAGCCACGATTCTCAGCATGGACAAGGACTGCCTGCGCACAGGGGACAAGGCCACCGTGCACTTCCGCTTCATCAAAACCCCGGAGTATTTACACATAGACCAGCGGCTCGTCTTCCGGGAAGGCCGCACCAAAGCCGTGGGTACCATCACTAAGGTAAGGCCTCCCACGTCCCACCTGCTTCTGCCCATTACTGACTTCTTGCACTCAGAAGCCAGCAGGAGAATCCAGATAGCTCTGGAAGATTGAGGGAAGAGGTTGTTCTTCAACCACAAGCATCAGGCCTGACATGGGTCGAGGATGACTGATGTGCTTTGTCATGTGGTGGGTCTTTAGCTGGTGTGAATGAGGGAAGGTAAAGGGAGAGGCTGGGCCATATGCTGCTGGTTCTTAAGGCTCAGTCTCTTTCTGACATCTTGTAGCTGCTCCATTTGAGTCATGTTGTTAGAGTGTCACCTCAGCCAAGTGGCCCTTTCCAAGGATGGAAGATCAGTGGTCTAGGTTTCTTTGAACAGCTGCTGCTGCTGCATCCTTCTCTTTGTGGTTATTTTTACAAATTCTCCAGAGGCTTTTTGTTAAAAAGCAACATTGAACTTTGCCAGATCATCCTGGCTATTTTAATGCTGAGTTTGGCAATTTGCAGCTACTCCAGACCACCAATAACTCACCAATGAACTCCAAGCCACAGCAGATCAAGATGCAGTCAACAAAGAAGGGAGCTGTTACGAAACGAGAGGATGGTGTTCCCGCCGCTGGGATGGCAGCTGGAGGCCCAGCAGCTGGGGATGAGGCCCCCTCAACAGCTGCAGCACCACTAACACCTACTGCCCTGCAACCATTGGTAAGTGAGGAAAATACCATCTCTGTCTTAGCTGTTTATGTCACGGTTTCATCTGTTGGAGGAAGGGTACTCTAAAGCAGAACTATTATCCCCTCATACCTCGAACTCACCTTGCCACAGGAACAAATAGAAATATAAGTAGTCTCACATCAGGAATCATAATTCTCTGATGTCTGGATGATTCCATGGCTGACCTTCCAGCAGACAGCAGCTCAGGGTACTGGGACAATTCAGGCTGGACCTCAGGAAGTGTCTAGTCTAACCTCCTGCTCTAAATAGGATTAGCTGTGAGGTCAGACCAGGTTGCTCAGGGTTTTATCCAGTCATGTCTTAAAAACCTCCCAAGGAGGAAGACTGTACAACGTCCCTTGGCAGCGTGTTTCACTGCTTTGACCATGTGCACAGTGAAGAAGTGTCTCTATATACCCAGTAGCTGAACTAGTGAAACACATAACAACCAGTCACAGAACAAGTCTTCGATGTCTGAATGAGAGGTAGAATATCCCTACACTAGAGAAATTACAAGCTAAGTATTAGGTACAGGTCATCTGCCCTGTCAAAAAATAAGGATAGGGACATCCAAGAAGAAGGAAAGGCTTTAAATTTCTCTTTAAAGAAATTTATCCAGGTTGTTTTGTTGGTTAGAACTTCAGTCTAGCTTGTCCCTGGAGGATACCTAATCTTTTACCTGGCCTGAAAGGAATGGAAACTCAATTCTCACTGCAGGCCTACTGATCAGCTTTATTACTGATAGAAGAAAGGTCCTTTCCTTGGAGGGTACTTCCTTAGGAAGTGAAGGGTTCAGGAACCCACTCTGTCAAGTGACAGGGTGTTCCCCTTCTTAATTCTAGCTAGATTAGTTGCCATGGTCAAATCTCACCCTCTTGAGCCAGACTGCTCATCAAAGGGGGCCCCTAGCAGGGGTTCTCTCCCTCTGCATATGCCTGGGGCTTCACACCAGTCCTCACCTTATCCTTGTCTTTCTGTAGCGTCACTGTGGTTGTAAGTAGTGGTCCCAGCTTCCTCTTTGTTTCGTCCCTCCCCCTGAGACTCTGAGTTGCTTTTGTTCTTGCTTATGTCTTCCTCTCTCTCCTTGCTGCGTCCCCTCAGCCTGCCCTGGATGAAGAGCCCCACAGCCGTGAGGGCAATAAGGTATTTGGCTGCTCAGAGAGAAACAGTGGGTTTGCTGAGGTTGGGAAAAGTCAGGTAGAGAGCCATGGTAGGGGGTGGGGGGCTCTCCTTCAATTCTGTGCAAAGTCAAGGGAGCCTGAGGCCTTGATTTCCTGTATCCTGAGCCCCATGGCAGTTGCTGGCTCTCATGGGAGTGAAGCATTTAGAAATTTGGGAAATCAAAGTCTTCCTGCTTGAGGGGCAAAACTTCCTGGTGCATTTGTCTCTCCTCCTTACCTCATGGTGTGTCTGTGTCCCTCCTGCCTTATCTCCTTCTTGCAGTGGTAGAAAGCTGTTCAGTCACAACTGCCCTGCTGCTATCTGAATGTGTGTGTGATCCATCTGAATTCCTGCTGTGTTGATATCCCATCTGAGGGGTTGCTTTGCACTAAAGTCAGTCTTGTTTTCCAGTCAAAAGTTGGAGGCGGAGGCCGTCGACGTGGGGGTCAGCGCCATAAAGTGAAATCTCAGGGAGCCTGTGTGACTCCTGCCAGTGGCTGCTGAATTTCTTATTCCTCCTCTCTCTGAAGAATTCCTCCCCATCCCTTCATTTCTTATCCAAAAGATCCAGAGCAGCGTAAACCAAAACCCATCCCAGCTGATTGGCTGCAGAAGAATCGTCCCTCCTCCCTGCAGGAAGCGATGGAGAGGAGCATAATTTATAAGCTAATGAAGGTGATAAGACAGAGAACTGAGTAACTGACACCTTCCTCCTCCCCCTGTCGACACATTTTTGTACATCATGGGCTTAGTTTTTATTCTTATTAGTTTTTATTATATTTTGTGTGCATGAAGATGAGAGGGGAGTCTGGATAGAGCTGCAAAGAGCCAGTTAGTTGCCTCCCTCCTCCCTCACCCCTTTCTGTCCACAGGACTTGCTGCTCTCCCCTATTTGCTGTCTCAGATCCAGGGGTTATCAGATGCCAGAAATTTCAGACTTGCAAAGGTTAAAACAGGTTGTTTAGGATGGCTCCATGGAGCATCATTTCATCACCACTGTGGCCTTGTGCCAAATATGTTTTGGATTCCCTCCCTCTTAAACTATTTCTAAGTGGATTTAATTTAATGTTGTAATGACTGAAGTTTGAAGAAGATGGTGAGAAAGTTCCTTAGTTGGAGATCTAAGAGGGAAACAAATTGGAAAGCAGTTGTTGATGTTAAGTTCAGGGATCCTATGCTCAATATTCTCAAATAATGTTGAAAGCACTTAAAATTTTAACTAGCGACAGAGTTAAATGGGCAGACATTTACCCACCCAGTTCCCCTTCCCATTGTGCTGCTTTTCCTAGTGTTTGTTCAGTGCACATAGGAGCAAATCTTCCCTGCCTCCCAAGGCTGCAGCAGCTCCACTGACAGTATTAACAACACTCAGTCCGTCCTTGAGCCAGAGAAAGCCTTCTCACCTCGGCGGACGGAGCTCACAGGTGGTAAGATACCTTTGGAACAGAGACACCAGGCTAATGTGACCTACCCTTGATTTTGTTTACTCCAAGATTTCCAAAACCTTTTTGGAACTCACTGGCCAAACTTTGCCATGGCAGAAGTAGGATTTGTCTTCTCCCCTCTTGGCCAAAGAGGGCAGTGACAAATTGGTACCAAATTTATAGAAGTGCTTTCAAGGTTGGAAGTACATGGTAATTTTTCTGATTTTCACTGAATTTTTTTTAAGATATTATTTTTCTTAATGAGAAATTCTGGCTTCTCCGAGAAGGCCCTGCAAGCACAGTTTACAAATTACTGTTAGAATGGTTTTTTTAACCATTTAATGAGTTTTTCAAGTGATTGATTCCCTGCTTATTTTGATCTCTTTTCTTCTAACCCTACCTCCTCCCTTGGCTCTGGTGAGGACAGGAATTATCCTCTGCCAGCTTGTGGTGAGCTCTGGGAGCGTGGTAGCATTTTGAGGAGGAGGTGGCATCCTCAGCAAATCATGGCTCCCCCCAGCAGGCGCGGTCAGGCTCGGTTTCTCTGAGGGATTCCTCCTCCAATGAAGGACTTTTATTTTAATCAGAGAGAGACTGCAAAGTTTCTGTCCCTCCTTAGCAGGTTGTTCCTGTTCCTCACTCTGTGTCACCTGTGTGGAGTTCATTCCAGCTCACCTTGTGGCTCGGGGTGGGCTTCCAGGCGGGCTGAGTGGCAGAGCGCATCTCCCGCTGCCAACACCAGCACTCCAAGAGCATTAAGCGGCACGGGAGAGGCAAGAAAGGTGGTTTGGAGAGCAGGATCCTTTGCCTTAGAGACTGCAGTCGGTGGAAGGGGAGGTCAGACAGTCCTTTTCCAAGCTATGTGCCTAAATACCAGCACTCTCCTGGCGAGGGAGGAACTATAGGCGGCTACAACACTAATAGCACCCGCATTGTGAGGGGGTGTGAGGTGTGGCTAAGCAGGGCACCAGGGCCTGGCTTGTTTGTCTTCTGGCCCTGTAGCAGCATCAAACTGCACCTGATTTCACTGCCCTCTGCTTCTGAAGGGAGCAGGGAGCTCCAGGAGGTTTTCTCTTTCTCCATTCCTTGTGCTCCAAATGAAGGAGACTGCCGAGACTGAAAGAAGGTTCACTTCAATTTGTGCAAAGGAGGTGGTGTGATCTCTCTTTTGTGACCAGCATTTACAGATCACTCAGGCTGGTGTGATCTATAAAATAAATTTTAAAAAAGTTTGTTCCAAGTAAAAGTGTGTCTTCTTGATTTTTGTCCCTCTGGAAAACCAGGCTGAAATCCAGAGGAAGCACGTTTGCCTGGCTCCAGATTCTTTTGCTGGCTACAAGAGGAGGCTGTGCTCATAGTGACAGCAGGGCAGGGCATGGCACAGCACAGGAGAGCTGCTGCTGAGCAACTGCACAGCCCTGACAGGTTTCACTCTGGCCAAAATGAAGTGCACCGCAGTGGCAGAGTGGTAAAATGAGAACACGGGTGTGGTGTGAGCTGTGAGTGGGTGTGAAGAGCAGATCTAGCAAATCACTTGGGGCCAGCCCCACCAGAGAAACTCTGCTAAAGGATGCAGCATTAGCACAGCACTTTCAGTGCCTGCCTACTGTGCTTCCTGGGACATGCACCCCACCTGTTTCTGCAAATACAGTGGGACTCTCCAGGGTTTGCAAGGAGCCTTTTTCTTTCTCCTCAGTTGATCTCAGAGGGTCACAAAGGCTTTTTCTGCTCTGCACAGCCCTTTCATAGGTAAGTGTTGGGCTGTGGTAGCCAGAGCCGAGGCCCACACAGGCCTTCTCCTCCTGGAGAGGGCTGGTCCAGGGCCAGCAGAGAGCAAGCCTGGCCCTAGCATGGCCTTCTGGGGGCAGCTGCATGGGTATTCCTCAACATAAACCTTCCTCCAAGCCCAGGTTAGGCAGACAAGGTTGTGACCCTCCTCAAGCCAGTTCAGTTTCCCATTTTTCAGCCTTTTTTATGCACCAAGTTAACTTCCTCATGCTAAGGAAAATGAAGTATTTCCTTTCTGCTTGCTTTGTAGCTGATGAGTAGTTAACAGCCCATGTGAAGGAAAAGAGAAGCAGATTCCCTGAATTGGGCTTTGTGTCAGGCTTTGTCCCTGCTAACCCAGCCTCCCTTACTGCTCCTTGGGGCCAGCTGGGCTCTGCTCATGGTAAGGCAGAGGATGGGAAGGCTTTGGGAGGTGACTGCAGAATGAGGACAGCCATGATATCACAGACTGAAGTCTCGTAGAAGTTTTTAGTCCCAAGGAATTGGAGGTTTTAGGAGAAAGTCTTGTTCTCAGCATTGTTTCAAGCAGTTTTTGCATTCTCAAGCCTGCTCTGTGACAAGGTGATGACTTTGTTAATGGCTCTAGAGTTAGTACATCAGGCTGGAAAATAAGGATTTGCCATAAAACTGTGTAGAAGAAGAGGTCCAAGAACAGCTTTGTCTACTAGCTGTGCATCATTCCCAACAGCAGATTCAGTTACAAAACATCCAAACCACTATGGGCAGTTTTGATATAATTTATGTCTTGGTCTTTTTTTTTTTTTTTCTTGCATAGGCATAAATTACAATCTGTTGATTAAAAAATAAAAAGAACAAAACAGTGCAGCATTTGCAACAGGCTACAGCATCAAACACAAACTCCTGTCTGTAACCATCTGTTTCTGCAGGACTAATTCATAACATGTGTGTAGGGCAAACTGAGAAGGAGGGAGAATAGAGGAGGGAAATGGAGTAAATAAGAGAACTCTGCTCCCACAGCTGTTCTGCATTTCTCCTGCCTCACCAGGCTCATCTTCAGCATCAGCTCTAGGATTAAACACCCCTGGGCAGAGAAGCACATGCTGAAGCAGCAGTTTTCTGTGCCCTCTTCTTTGGCAGCTCTGGGCAGTGCTGCAGAAATGCTGCAAGCTACAATCTCGAGAGCCGGTGGCTTCTGGCACTTGGCACAGGGGCTCGGGCTGCAGCCCAGCACTGATGCTGAATTTGGGGGCTGAAAACCCACATGGAGCCTCAGCATATGTTCCTGGGGATCCTCACACATATGGCATGGTGAGGCCTCTAAAACCAGCTAGAAAAGAGCATGAAGCCCCAGGAGGAGCTCTCAGTGGTGGCTCCAGAGAGTTTTACTTCGAACAGCAAAGATTTTCACGTCCAAAGGACAGGGCAAGCTTGCACTGTAAAGCCAAATGCTCCCTAACCCAGACACAGCAATTAACACCCACTGGAAGGAGCAGAGATCCCACTACAACTCCATTTTCAGGGGAAGAGGTCACCTTTCCTGCCTCTCATCAGCATGCCTGATTTACCACAAAATCATTTTTTTCTTGGGCAAAGACCTTGTCTGTTCCTGCAGTCCAAGCCAGAGACCAGGGATCCAGAAGGAACATAGGAAAAGGGGTTTTCCCAGGCTCATGGTTATAGCTTTTGCTCCAGGAGCCAGAGAAAGGTGAGAAAAGGGAGAGCTTCATCTCTGCTTTCTCTTTATGATTCAAATAAATACAGGAGCTGGTCTGCCAAGCCCAGAACAGGTCTAGGCATTCATAAAAGCACAGCTCCATGTGCTCAGTGCACTCATGGACAGGACTCCAAGGCAAACGGGCAGCTGTAGACAAGTTTAAAATAACTTTGGCTGTGCCTGCCAAGAATTAAGACTAAGCTCAATATAGGAGAGAATTTATAGTCCCTGTCTCTGGCTCCAGGTCAGCTTTCTCCCTGCAGCAGGGCCTCTCAGCTCTGCAAGAGGCTCCACAGGGTAATTTTAACCTGCTGGAGACAGGACTGTGCCCTCTGAGCTTGCTCCCCCTGCTTGGAGCAAGGAGACCCCTGCAGAAGGGATGTGCTGCCACCACCCTCACCCTCCCAGGCAGGGAGGGGGGGAGTCAAGGCTCAGCAGCTCAGCCTGATGCCCATCAGGGGATGCTGAAAGGAGACACTTCTTCAGCCCCTCATCCTCCTCTATGCCTATAGTGCTTCAAGCAGAGACCACCAGAGTGGGAATCAATACATGGTGCTCTCACAGTGTCAGGGGAAGGATGGTACCAGCACTGGACAGGGCTGAAACACTGACCATGAGCCCTTAAGGTTTTCTTTCAATGAAACACAACACAAACCTGGAGGCTGTTAACACCACCCAAGAACATAAGCCAAGCTGTGTGATGCAGGCCAGGACGTGGAGGGGCCAGATGGCCCTAGCACCCCTCAGCCTGGGGAAGGTCCCTGTGCATCCTTCCTCAAATCCCTGCTGTGCCTCCACCCATCCCAACAGTACAGGCAAGATTTACATGCCCACTGCAGAGAGAACTCCCCCTCCTGCTCCAGCCCAGTCCTCCCACAGCCAGGGCTCAGAGAACAGTGCAATGCCAGTAAGGAGAGGTAGGAGGAAAAGGGAGCCCTTCCAGGAGAAAGGAGGTCAGCCTGCACAGCCATCTGCCATCGAGGACCCGAGAGCTGAGGGAGCCCTGCAGGGGGAGGTGGCTCTGCATGCTGGCACCTGCAAGCCCCCCAGGAGCCCTGCAGAGCCCTGGGGCAGCAGCTCCGCTTGCTGCCAACAGTCAAGTATACATAGATGCAGCCACGGGCAAGAGGCCACGGCCACATGTTGCAGTCTCAGAGCACATCCAGAGCAGGGAGGGCAGGAATGCCTCCAGCACCCCACCAGCAGCAGTGCACACAGGACCCCAGCTTCCAAGTCTAGCTACCAAGCCACCAACAACGTGAGGCCCATATTTTAAACAGCTCTGCTCATCTTATTCTAGCTTATCCTACTGTGTATGCTATTCTAATAAACAAAGCTCTAGCCCTCTCCACATCTAAGCCACTCATCCAAGTGGCACCATGTAACATTCTCTGGTTAAGTACAAATTGCATGGAAAAAGTATTTTTTCCCTTTGTTACTACAAACACCCCCTCCCACAAAAAAAAACAACCCCAACACCCCAACTGGAAAATAGTTCCCCTCCCCACCCCTCTTTAAAAAAAAATATCAGAACAAACCCCAAAGGAAAAGCAGGCAACAGGAATTTTCAATAGCATCACCAAGCTTAACACTGGGGAGGCAGCCAGCCAGGGAGGCCAACAGCTTCAGTAAGACCCAACTCAGCTACTGTCAGCAGGAGGGCTTGAGTGGATGGATGGCAGCACCAAGGTGGGCTCTGCCACCAATGTGTGCCACGCTCCTCTCCTCCCGCTGCCCCAAACCATTAGTTTTATGTTAATACTTCATTAATACTGTCTTATTTCCTCTCTGCCGGCCCAGCATTGGAGGGCTGGAGATCTTTACCCAAACCAACACCAAGGCAAGAGAAGTGACCCTGTGTAGAGGGGACTTGGTGGCCATAACCAGTGGCTCCCACCTACTGTGGCAGCACCAAGTCAGGCACCGTGGTCCCACACTCCCATCTCCTGCACCCAAGCCCACATGAAGCACATCACAAAATGACACACCCCTTTCCCAAGCCCTGGCCATGCTAGAAAGGAGTGGGACAACAGGGAAGAGGGGGCAGCGCAAACCCGATACAAAGTTAGCTTAAAAAGTTAAAATGTCCCATATGCACTGAAAACAAGCCAGGCTGCGCTAGGACCCACGTGGGATGCTCTTGCCTCACCACGCAGGTCCTTGGAAGAGTGAAAGCCTCACCCCTTCAACACCAGCTCTTCTCCTCCCCCCAGGGGAGCAGCTTCCAGGGGCGGCTGCTGGCACGTGCCAGGGTTTCTAGGTGCGAAGCAGTGAAGCAGCCACGTCCCCTCCTGCTGCCAGCCCGGCAGCATCCTCATCCCGCCGGGCCGGGGTCAGTGCGCCGGCTCCCCGTGCACGCGGAAGCGGTAGATGCACGTGTATTCAGGGTGGCCCCAGTTGCTCAGCACCCGCAGCTCCACCAGCTGGTATGTGCCCATGGAGTCACCCTTGGGGAGGAGGGAAAAGAAAAACCTGAGACCTTGAGGGCTCTCTGCAGCTCAGAGAGCCCAGAGGCCCCATTTTCTTCTTAGGGGTCAGGTGGTCCAGGGGCAAAGCATTTACCTCCAAGTAAAATGTTTGGATGGGGTCGCCATCATGGTTGTAGGTGAATTGTCCAAGGAGAAGGCCCTCCTCCTCTCTTTCTTCCTTTAAGCCCTATGGAAGGGCAGGGAGGTAGAAAGGGAGAACCAGGGGTCATCAGAGAGGGAGACCAGAGGTGATGCACACATCCAGGGCAGAAGAGGGAGAGGGAGACACAAGCGTGCTTGGCCCCCGCTCCTGCTCTTCAGGTCAAAATAGACAAAATGGAACAGGGACCAGTGGGGAAGGATGAAGGGGGGCAAGACCAAAAGTTACATCTACTCAAGCCCCTTTGTCCCTGTGTCCCCCCCAAACTCTTTCTGAAACCCAGTGCTGCCCCTCTCCCCACCAGTATTGCTTCTTCCTCTTCTTCAGGATAAGACCAACCCCTCAGAGCAGCCCACAGCCAGGTATGGGGTTTGTTAGCCATCCCTTCCAGCACCCTCCCCCTGTGCTCCCCCCACCCCCCTCAGGTGTGGGTGAGGGCACTCACATAGACAGCAAAGTCCTTGGGGGCACTGGGGATGGTCCCCTGCGGTGAGAGGGCTTTCGGGATGTGCTCCAGTGTCACGGCCATGGGGCGGATAATGCCGGAGAGGCGGATGACAGCAAAGCCCTCGGAGCCACGAAACGCCCAGCAGTTCCCAGGGTTGACGTCTGGCTACGAGCATGGAAGGGAGACGCCAGCAATGTTACCACCATCAGAGTCATTTTTCTCCCACCAGCCTGGCTGCTGGCTTGGAGCAACAGCAAGAGCCCAACAAAAGCCCCATGAGCAGCAGCCCAGCCCTCCCAGTTAGCACCCACCTGCAGGATGGCACGGGGGGACTGCGAGTGGTACCACAGGGGGATGCCAAACAAGCTCAGCAGTGCCGTCCGCATCTCGTAGGTCTCTGAGCAGCGAGTGTTGATGACACTGGCCCCTGGCATGAGGAGATGGCAGCAGGTGAGCTGCAGGACAGCCCCTCTGGTCACCTCCCCAGGACAGCTGGCTCATCCTGACCACCTACCTGCTGACTCGAGGGCATAGTCAACCATCCCCACACGGTCCTCGCTGTAGCGCTTCAGGGCCTGGCCCACGATGAGATGCACTTGCTGCAGTGGGAGCAGAGGGCACAGGAGGGTAACAAACTGGGGCAGGCATCCTGCCCCACACCCGCCTGCCCCTGCAGGGACAGAGGGTGCGAGGACCTTCCCGCAAAACAGCCACGGGACAGAACAGCCAGGGGATGAATCACCGTGGCAAAAATAAGAGGACGTGCATTTGGCTGGGAAGCCTCGTTAGAGGTTGCTAAAAATACCCCAGGGGAGAGGAGCTGTGCAGTGAAGGGGCAGCACCCAGGCACGCTGCACTTGCCTGTCCCCAGGAGGGGCTGGCCCAGAGGGAGGATATGTAGCACCAGACACAACCTGACAGACCACCCAGAATCATCTGGTCATCCCTCCTGCCCTGTCCCACAGGATTGATGGGAGCTCTCCCTGTCCAGAAAAGGAGGAGATGGCTGGAGCATCCATCTGGAGCCAAAGCCAGCCTAAGGAGCTAGGACCCTGCAGCACCACTTTGGGTCTAAACTTTATGGAGTGCATAAAGCTCACACATACTATGGGGATTGCTAATCCCAGCTTGATCCCTCCCCTCCACTACCTCCACAGGGAATTTCCAGCAACTCTTTCCAAAGCAAGCAGGCTCATTTTTTCCCCTTGGTGTCATTCTGCTGAAATGCTTTGCAGCAAACAACTCCGCAGCACTGCTGAAGAATGGGGATAAGCAAGATGCTCCACCCCGGAAGCCTTGATGGCACCTCTCCCACGTTCTGGGTGAAGGATGCATGAGCAGAAGCTTGGATTTTAAGACAGTAAGTGTGAATGCTGAGAACTGGTCAGAGAAGAAAGTCAGATAAACTTTCCCAGACATTCCTCTGGGAAGTTTTGAGAAAGTTCAGAGAAAGAATTAAAACAATCCTGCAGTTGGTGTTTTGAACTTGTTGTTAATTGTAAGATGTTTACAAGAAGGGTGCTGTTCCTAATTACCCAAGGGTGTGAGGGTTATTAACTAAGGACCAATCAGTCCTTAGTGAAGGACTCTCTATAAAAAGAATGTGTGGTTTCTAATAAACTTGGCTTTTGCCTTTTGAGAAGACACAGGAGTCGTGTCCCTTTATTCACCCATTCTCAATAGAACAGCGACAAGTAAGAGCCTTGCAGGGCTGCAGGTATCAGCACCTGTGACCCCTTCCAGAGCACAAAGCAAGCACAAACTGAGAAGGGAGTGGCAGAGAAGGAGTTTCGAGGGTGCTCTTGCATCCTGTGAGCCCAGGATCAATATCCCAGCTGTGGGGGCTGTCCCAATGCCTCTGCCATCTGCCAGGCACACATGCCAGCCCCCTGCACACATGAAGGGGGCACAGTCCCCAACCCCGTGGTCACCTCATGTCCCTGGGGCTCAGGCCAGTACTCACCTCCTCTGTCACTCCTGCAGCCCCTCCTTGCCGCAGGGCCACTCCAATGCCAGCCTGAGCATCCTGTGCTGACAGTCTCCGGTCCTCCAAGACTTTTGCAAGGATCTTTTGCTCCAGAGCCCGGAGCTCTGCTTGCAAGTCTTCCCGCTGGAGGATGAAGGCAGCAGCACCATCCTGCTGGGACTGTGACAGGAACCTACTGATCCACACTGGGAACTGTGCTTCCACCTGGAACAGTGCAGACAGAGCTCAGCCTGGAGCAGGGACCCCTGCTTGCCTTTCTGCCAAACAGGCTGGGGACCGGGGACTCACATCTGACCGCACTGTCTTCAGCTGCTCCAGTATCCCCTTCACGTGCTTCCCCATCACCTCCTGGTCTGACTTGAGGCTTGCCAGCTCCCTCCTCAGCACTGCCACCTCCTGCTCCAGCTTGCCCACCTCCTGCTGGAAGGTCCCTTTCAGGCTCTCCTGCACCGAGCTGTGCCAAGAGAAAGGTAACAAAACCTTGTGCCAATAGCCCCAGTTTCCCCTCTGCAAACTGGGGGAAGAGGTTCATCCCACATCACCTATGCTCAACCCCATCTCCAGACCCAGTTTTAATCCCAGTGGCAGTGACCTCTTCTACTGCATCCCATGGGAAAGCATCCTCAGCTCACCCCTCAGGTGAAGGGCCACATTCACAGTGATGCAGAGCGACAGTGGCAAAGGTCATTGCTGCCATTGCTCTTGGGGCCCTGCTGCCAGCCACAGAATGGCAGGATGGGTCAGGCTGGAAAAGACCACAGTGGGTCATTTGGTCCAACCTCCCTGTTCTAGCAGGGTCATCCCAGAGCACATGGCACAGGACTGCAACCAGACAGTTCTGGACTATCTCCAGTGAGGGAGACTCCACAACCTCTCTGGGTAATCTGCTCCAGTGTGTGGTCACGGCACAGTAAAGAAGCTCTTCCTCATATTCAGGTGGAACTTCCTGTGCATCAGTTTCTGCCCATTGACTGCCCATTATCCTATTGCTTGGCACACTGAGAAGAGCGTGGCTCCAGCCTCTTATCACTCTCCCTTCAGTCACTGACACTGATGAGGTCCCTTCTCAGTTGTCTCTTCTCAAGGCTGAACAGGCCCAGCTCCTTCAGCCTTTCCTCCTAAGAGAGATTCCCCAGTCCCTCCATCATCTCCATAGCTCTCTGCTGGACCCACTCCAGGACTCCCTTGTACTACTGAGGAGCCCAGAACTGGACACAGCACTCCAGAGGTGGTCTCACTAGGGCTGGGTAAAGGGACAAGATCACCTCCCTCAACCTACTGACAATGCTCTTCTTAATGCACCGTAGGATACCACTGGCCATTTTGGCCAAAAGGGCACAGTGCTGGCTCCCACAGACCCCACTTATGTATCCTTCCTTCCTTTCCCCACAAGACTACACCTCTTGATCTCTCCTTTGTCCCCAGCCAGGCCTGCAAATCCCTCCTAAGCCTGGCTGAGGGGAATTCACCCAGCTACCTGCCTGCCCTACAGCCAGTGTTACCTCTGCCACTCCGAGTTCAGCTCCAGCAAGCGCGCTTCCATCTCCTGCCAGGAAAAGGGAAGGGGTGAGACCTGTGACACCACTGCTGAGGGTGTCCTGTCCAGGTACCACCACACCCTCCTCTGCTTACCCGGGAAGCTTGTGCCATCTTGCCCAGGCGCCCGTCTAAATCCCTTTGCACCTGGGCCCGGAGCACATCCAGCTCGCCCTGAAGGATGGGGAACAGGGTGGAATATCAGAGCCTGGTCCTGCCCACGCCCATCTCCCTGCAGTGCCCATGTCACTCACCTGGAGCTGGTTGGCCATGTCGGAGCGGAGATGCTCCTTCAGCCCCGCATCCCGGCGGCTCACCAGCCCCTCCAGCAGCGCAAGGATGTCCCCTGGGGGGGGCTCTCCCCCTGCTGTCACTGCTGCCGCCCCATGACGCAGCTCCCACCGCGACAGCTCGGCCTCCAGTGCCTCAAAGCGCTTCTCCAGGGACTGGAAGCGAGCCAGGAGTCGGTGTCCCCCCTGCAGTGACAGAAACAGGGTGTGATGAAGCCCCCCAGGGAAGTGCCTGCTCCACAGGACCCCTGAGAAAGGGGACCCTGACCACCCATTCCCCAGAGTCAGTGGCATCTTATTCATCTGTTGCTTCCCAGGAGAAGGCAGATGGTCCCCCTGCTCCATCCCAGGGACACCCCAAGGGTGAGATGGCCACAAGCTGGGGGAGCCAGTGTGGAGCCATCATCTGCCCCATTCTCCACCATTCCTCACACCCTGGAAGCAATTGTTCAGCCATGGATCACACCGTCCCAGCTCTCCCTGCAAGGCACTCATCCCACCTGGACCACCATCGTGCCTTTGCTTACCTGGTCCAGCGTGGTCAGGTCCCCTGCCCCAGGAAGGTCAGAGGAGGAGGAAAGCTTTCCAGCTCCCCACCACGGGAAGGAAGGCAGGCTGAGTGTCGACAGCCCGTACGGGTAGAAGTACCAAGCTCCTGAGCACAGAAGGATGAGATGGTCAAAACCACAGGCTGGTAATGGGCCACAGTAGTGGACAGGGTGGACATGCAGAGGCTCAGCCATCAGCATCTCCAGGGACTACCAGGAGACACTGGTTCCAGGCCAGCCCATCCCCCAGCCACGGCAGTGGGATGCTCTGCACTGCCCCAGATCTCAGGGCAGCACATCAGGGGAGGTGGCTCACCATAGGCGGCAGCAGCGAGGAGCAGGAGGAGCAGCAGCAGCAGCAGGGACCTCTTCAGACGTGGGTAGCGCCTGGAGCATGGAGAAAAGAGAGGTGCCTTAGGACTGCAGCCACCTTCCATCACCTTTGGATGGGAGCCAAGGGGAAAGCAAAGACACCCACCACCCTCAAGGTGCCTCCCCTTTCCAGGGTCCTGCAGGTTTTCCCCACACTTCCCCCATGCTAGTGTCCCCCCCCAGCACACTCACCTGGAGAAGGGGACGCTGTCCAGGTGGGAAGCTGTGCCGGTGAGGCGGCGCCAGGCCCCTGCCAGCCCTGAGAACAGCCACCCCACAAACCGAACTGCCAGGAGAAAAAACAAGCCTCAGGAGGAGTCCTGACAGATGTCCCCTCCATGCCCAAGGGTGGCACCACAAGGAGATAAAACCCCTCCACCCAAACAGGGGATAGCACACACAGCAGCTGGAGAGTAGAGATGCTGACTGGCAGGAACACTGCTGCGAGAAGTGCCCCTGTCAGCCCTCCACTCACCTGGGGAGGTGAACACCTGCCAGAGGAAGGAGCCCACCCGGGAGGCTGCAGTTCTCAGACCTGACCCAGAGCTACTCTGGCCTGAGTAATAGTGACCTGGAAAGGAAGCAGCAAGTCACCAATGCAGACAGCATCTCGGTGCATTGCCCACAGCAAAGGCTTTGCACTGGGGGTGGCATCTAGAGGGGATTGGCAGCACACTGGCTGTAGCCAGGCCCTGGGCTGGTCCCCCTGGGGATGCCTCCCCTGCATTCCTGCCACTACAGACAGACTAGTGCATCCCTACCAGCGTAGTCGTCTTCTGAGGAGTACCCAGATGAAGATGTGTAGGTGTCGTATGTCTTGCTCTCCAGCACCCCATTGATCTTACTGGACTCGGTGTCCCCTGTGCCTCTTCTCCTCCTGGTGGAGAGCTCTCCACCTGCCCCAAAACACAGAGTTCCAATGAGAAATCGCCCACCATCACTTCCACAAGGGGAAACCCAGTCAGCCAGCCTGGGCAGCTGCCCCAACACTCTCCAGTGTCCAGGGAGGTCCCGAGCTGCCCTAGGAGAGCGGGAGGGCTCACCCCAGTACGTGCTGCTGTCCAGGTCATCATCCAGCATGGAGCTGCCCAGGGCAGCAAGGCCCCGGCTGCCCCCCAGGTAGGACTCGCTCATCATGGACTCGCTATAGTAGGAGGTTTGGGTGCTGGGGGCGGGAGAGAGGCGCTTTGTGCTACTCGATTTCCTCCTGATCGTCCTGCGGGAGGCGAGAACAGGCTCATCACACATGTGTTCTTACAAGGTGGGGGGGGGCGGGGGGGGGGTCACAGTGCACTCATGGGGGGAAATGGGGAATTCACCCCAATCCCTCGACCAGCATCGCTTCCCTCCACACCGGATGGCGGCAGCTTTCGGAGGCTGCAGCCTGTGCTTCACAGAGGCCTCCCGCCCGTCCCGGGCATCGCTTCCGTTCGCACCGCTGCGGTTTTCCGGCCGGCACTCGCAGCGCACCTCCCTCCTCCCTCCCTCCTCCCTGTCGCCATCCAGCTGCGGCTGGGGCTGGCACCCGGCCACCCACGGCGGGCTCCCGTGCCGGGCCCGGGGACGCAGAGGAGCCTGCGCCGGGAGCGCGGGGCTTTGGCCGGAGCAGGGGCACGGCCAATGCCACAGTGCCGAGGCGGCCATGCCGGAGCGCGCCGGGCTCACCGTCACGCTCCTTTCGCGAGCTATCCCCACAGCCCACGCAGGAAGGTGCCCGGTCCCTGGTGTGGGATGGAATGCCCCGCCCGTGTCAGATTTGGGCAGGGGGAAGCCCCCACTCGTGCCCCCCACTAACCTGCCGGTGGTCTCCTTGAAGGGGAGCTGTGTCCCACCCAGCAGAGATGCGCTGCTGCCGCTGGTCGTGGCATCATCGTCCCCGGGGTAATAGCGGCTGGTGACAAGGCGCTGGCTGCGGCGGGACATGGCGGCAGCAGGAGGGGAGCTCGGCTCACCTGGGGGTGGGGAGAGGGCGGGCGGGAGAGGGAAGTGTCAGTGGCAGGGTCCCCGGAGGGACGCACCCAGCGGGATCCCACTGGCGGGGACCCCGCCCCTGAGGCAGGGCTCCAGCCCCACACCGAACGCCGTCCCGAGCTGGCGGCCGTGGGGTGTCCCGGGATGGAGCCGCCCCCCGTACAGGCCGGAAAACCCCTTCGCCTCCTTTCCCGCGCGTGGAGCGGCTGCCCCCGGCCCCTCCGCGCCCCCGGCCCGACACATTACCCCCCGAGGCCCGGTACGGAGCCGGCCGGCCCGCAAGCCCCCGCCTTTGCCCCGGCCGCGCCGTCCCCCTCGCAAACGCACCGGCCCGTGCCGCGCAGCGGGGAGCGATCCCCTCCGTCCTTCCCGGCCGCTCTCGCCGCCGCCGCCGCCGCTCCCTTTTGTTTTGCGGGGGAAGGCGGCACCCGCCTCCCGCCCTCCCCCCGGACACCCCCGCCGCCGCCCCGCCCCGCCCGCCGCCGCCGCGGAGAGGGGGGCAGCCACCGCTCCCCCGGCCTCTGGGGACCTCTTCTTTATCATCATCTCTATTGCTATTTATTGTTATCACCGCCACAGGCATATTCTTTTAATTTCATTTATTTTCATCATTTTGTGGGGGCCGATGATGAGGGCCCAGCCGCACTCTGCTGCCCACGGGGACCTGGTCCCCAAACACCTCAGCCCTGGGGCTCCTCCGCCGTGCCCAGCACGGGCAGCAGCCAGCCCACGCTGCCGGCCAAGGGCGTGGGTGATGCCCGCCGAAAATGGGAGCTCGCAGGTGCAGGGCTGCACCCCAGCCCCGTTTGGGCTTTTCTGGGGTGGCTGGTTTGCTGGTCCCGGTGGGGGTGAGAAATCCCCGCACCCCACGCACCACCCGTCCCGGCGACACGGCCGAACCTATCCCTGGGGCGTGGGCAGCCCCGCTCGACACCAGTGTGCCCACGCCGCCCCGACTGGGCGGGCGTGTTCTGCTGCTCCCCGGGCCGCAGACACCCCCGCTGCCGCCTCTCTTCCCCACGGGCGGCTGGGCAGCCTCGTCAGGGGCGTGCGAGCCAAACCGGGCTGCTCCCATGGGACCTTGAACGGACCTTGTGCAAACTCAGCCGGCTGGAAAAAACAGCCACCCGCCCCCCCACACCTCGCGTTTCAAATCTGACGGCGCCTTAGGAAAAGATTTGCCTGGGGGAGCTCTGAGAGTCAGGGCAACTGGCCACCTGTGCGTGGACGTGGATGTTCAGACTATTTCTGTGGGCAGGAATGGTCCCCCTGGGCTTGGATATGGAGCATAAAAGTATTTATAGAAAGAGTTAAAATACTACAAAGCTGGCAGAAGAGAAGTAACCTATTGCAAAACAGCCCTGAAACCTTTTCCTCTGTGTGCTGGGCTTTGGGGCACCAGCCAGGGCAGTAGCAGGAGGACGTGCTGTCAGCACTGGGGGGGCACACCGCAACAAACCCCGATTCAGCGTCCCCAGCCCCGTTGTGTAACGCAGACAGATCCTCTTTGTCTCCCCTTTCTTTTTTTTTCCCCTGCCTTTTGAGCCCATTTTTTGTTCCAGCCAAAATCTCTGCCTAGCTTTTCCAGCTCCATCTCCCACTGTGCCAGCTGCCCTTTTTCACCCCCTCTCGTGGCTTCCCATCCCTTTGCAAGTGTCTGGCTGGGACAGAGGACATCTCCCCGCCCCAGTGGCACCTTTATCTCTGGCCATGCAGATGGCAATCCCGTGTCCCAACCTGGGTACGCTGGCAGTGGCTGTCACAATGGCACCTGCTCCAGCTGACGTAACCCTGCGTGGATTAACCCCCCTGGGAGGCTCAGGGGATAAGCTGGGTGCTGAGCCACCAGGCACTAAGTAGGGTGCACAGCCCCAGGTCAATCCATCCCCTCCTCAGGAGCCACATTTTTGGGTGTGAAGGGAGTCAGTGGCAGTTCCTGGGGGATTTGGGAAGATGTTCTCAGGGGAGTGGGGTTTGTCCTTGCTGCATCCCTGGTCTTGTGGAGGAGGTGGTGATGTCAGAGCCATGGGAGTTTTTGAGTGGGTGTGGGAAGACTGGGGCAAAGATAAGTGGTGTGTAGCTGGGAGCTTCTGCCTCATTTTCACCACAGCAGCAGTGGGGAGTGTCAGCTCCCTTTTTGGGGGTTACCAGGGCATCACTGTGCTGGGGGTGGGGCAGAAGGGGTGGGGCCAGCTGTTCCAGTTTGGCAGTTCTTGCTGGGGAAAGGCAGGAAAAATCCCTACCCTTTCCTAAAAGGCTTTGGAGGGCTGAAGTGACACGTCCAGGCATGCAAGGACAGCCAGGGCTGGGAAAGCAGCCTTGGTGGGGAAGATCACTGCTCGTGTCTTCTCCACTAGGCCAACCTTTTTATTTAAATTCCCTGTCCCACCTATCCTTACAACCTGCTTTCCTGGTTCATCACACCACCAGCTCCGGCACCACCAAAAGCTGAGGCTGCCCAGAATCAGAGCTGCACATCGATCCCCACATCACCCTCGGCAGCACCCCACAACAGCCCAATCCAGCACGGTACCCAGCCCCCCTCACACCCACGACCCCACATCATCCACCAGCACCTTTTCCTGGTGGGCTGCCCTGGCCAGGCAGTGTCCCACCGCCAGCAGCACCTTCCCCAGGCGCCGGTCCAGCGCCTGCAGGTGGGGCTCAGCCAGGACGGGGGCCAGCGGATCTGCGGCCAGCGCCTCCCGCAGCACGTCACTCAGCCGGTAGGGCTGGGTGGCCAGCAGCTGCAGCCGCAGGTAAGTCGACTTCTTGATGCTGCCAGAGATGAGGAGGGAGAGCTCTCAATAGGAGGAGCCTCTCCCCAGCAGCAGATCCAGGATGGGGCCAGCCCCTTACCTGCAGCATTGCTGGAGGGGGGCCAGGATGGACGGTTCATCGCGGGAGTGTGTGCCGAAGCTGGGCGGGGAGAGAAGCCCATAAGGATGTGTCAGGGTGGCATTTTGGCAAGACTGGAGGGTCTCCCCCCACCCCTTTGCTGTGATTGTTCGCCCCTTCTCTCCAGCTTTACCCGCGACCATTGTCCAGGTGGAGCAGGAAAGTGTCATTCCCAAATTTCTCAAAGGTCTCATAGTGGTGCCGGTCCATGTTTCCTGTGGCGGGCCAACAAATTTGGCATCAGGTTGTGGGCTGGAAGATGGGAGCAAAGACACGGAGCACTCTTCTGGTGAGACTCAAACCCAGAGCCCGGGGAAAAGGGTTGGAGGCACCTCTAACTTGTCCATCTGGTGGCCATGGCCATGCAGGGGAACTGAGCAGAGACCCCACAGCCTCCCCTTCTCATCCCAGCAGCCCCACAGAGGGACAACAGTGGCAAATGGAGCAGAAGTAATGGCAAAGGCATGGTTGGGTGGTCAGGAATGAGGAGATGGGAAACTCTCCCAGTCAGATGCTGGTGAGGGGACAGCGCAGGGAGGAAGAAGTGGCCCAGGGACAGGAGAGGCAGCAAGAGCCCTGGACAGCACCATCTCCACCTCTGGCTCTCCAGGGGCTGCATGTGAGAGCATGCTGGAAGGTGCTTCTCATGTCCAGGGTATTCAGCTGGGATCTCCCTGGAATCTCTTGACTTTCAGCTTCTGCCTGGGAAATGCCCTAGTGGCACAGCCCTGTGCTCTCATTGTAAGACTGCGGCTCACTGCAGCCTGAACAACAGTTTGGCCAACAAATCTCGCAGGGCACGGTACCACGGGACATGGAGCCATTTGGTCCTCTAGGTCCTGAGGGACCTCCAGAGCCCTCAGCAGAGGCACAGAGGGGCTCACCCATGAGGAAATCGAGGATTGCCATGTCGATGAGGTCAAGGAGGCGATGGCCCCTGTCATAGGGCGGCATCTCTCGCACCTGAGCGCAGTAGTTGGGGTTCAGCTCCCACCTGGTGGCAGAGGCCAGGGAGACCAATGGGGCCATGAGGGCGGCTGTGGATAAGCCCACTCCCATCCCACAGCTCTGCTGGCCCATGTCCCCACACCCCCCATGCCCCATCTCACTCAGCCTTCTTGCTCTTGTGGTAGGAGCGGCGCCAGGGACTGCGCCAGGAGCGGCGCTTGGCCAGGGTCTTGTCGGGGAGCAGGGCAGCCATGGAGCCCTCCAGCCGGTCGGGTTTGCCACAGAGGGCGTGCTCCGTGGAGCAGTAGTAGGAGCACTCCCCGTAGAAGCAGACATTTCCCGCTGGCCAGGAGACAAAACAAAGGTTGACAAAGAGCGAGAAGGCACCTCTGGGCAGAGCGGTCCAGCAAACAGCCAGGGAAGGATGCTCCATGCACTCTGGCCATGTGCCACCAGCACAGCAATGGCAAGGGAGGCTGTGAGGGGCCTGCCTATGGCAGGGCACCCATGGGAGCTGGAACAGTCCCCAGTAGGATAGTTTGTCTGAGTGCGGAGGAAGCCGGGCAGCAGCAGCCAGCACCAGGTGAGCTCCATCCAGGTGGCCACAGGAGAGGACAGAGAGCATGAAAGCTCACCTGGGGAGATGAAGAAAGTCTTGGCCAGTTTCTTGTCTGTGGTGATATCCCGAATTTCCTTTGTTATGTTGACCAAACGGCCAGAAACTGGGGGGATTCGCCGGAAATCCAGGATCCTGAAACATAGAACTTGGAACTATTTCTTACTGACCTCAGCTGGTTTAATAACAGCGAGTTATTAAAACTGACAGGAGACACAGGTATCCCTCACAACCGAGGAGTGAGAGGTGGGAGGAAGGAGGAGTTTCTCTGGTGCTTTGCCAGTATGGGAGGGCAGGCTTGGATGCAAAGCTTATGCTCACCTGTCCAGGTGGAAGGCTGCAATCTCTGCATTGTGCCGCTCAAAGTCTGAGAAGTAGAAGAAATCAATGGGGGTCTCCTGGTCCCGGGTCTGCCTGGAGAGACAGGGGGACAGTGGGGGCAATCATCATGGGTGGGGTCACTCCAAGCATGGGATTAGTTCCAAACCACCTTGTGTTTCCTTGTGACACTGGAGACACAACCAAACCCAGTCTCCTCCAGTCACTTCCTGATGGGTGGGTGGCTCCAAGCCCCCTATCCAGGCTCCCAGCTCAAGGGGTGGGGAAGCCCTCATGGACTGGAGGCTCCTGGATAGTCCTCATGGACCACCTTCTTCTTTCCACCACTGGAGGTCACTACCCCATCACAAGCTGCATCCAGTTTGCAGCAAGCTCTGCCAGGGAAGGCGAGGGAAACGGGCCCATTCTGCTCGCCTCAGTTTTGGGACAGAGGAGCTGAACCGAGGCAGCACATGAAGCATTTCTCCATTTCTCCCTCCACGGTCCCTTCTGACCACTTCTTGCTACCTAACGGGATCGTGTGGGTGAGGTATAGGGTTGTCCCAGGCTCTACTCACTTCATGGGCTTGAAGAGGGCCTGCCCATAGTTTGGGAACGTCATGATGAGCTTGAGCTGGGTCCCGCCGGACTTCTGGACTGAAAGGAGGCACACGGGGATGAGGGAGGCAGGCAGCAGGCAGCGGGGCAGGGTGCGGGCAGGGGTGGGGCAGGGAGGTGGTACCCGAGCTGACGATCCTTTGCGTGGCCAGATCCCGGAGCAGCGTGGGCAGCAAGGGGTCCCGGCGGGGGTACAGCTCATAGCGGTTGATGCCGATGTGGAATTTGAGCCACGTGGGGTAGGTGTCATAGGCTGTCTTCCCTGTCGGGAGGAGCGCCTCGGCTTTACTGCTGCTGACCCTGCAGCCCGACAGCCACCACCAGCCCAACAACAATGACAGCTTTTAGTTGGGGCAGGATGGCTCCCGTGTCCCCGGGCCCTTCCTGGGAGCCAGTGCATGGAGGGTGAGGTGGGGAGAAAGGCCAGAGCAAGGCCTGGGTTTGTTCCAGGTTTCATGGTGGCAGAACTCCCTGCCCCATATGGCCTTCATGGGGCTCTTGGCATGTGGTAGATCCCACCCAAAGTTGGTGGCCAGCAAGACCCACCAGCATGGCTGGATTGGACACAGTGTCTTCCTTCCATCCCCCATGGAAAACCCCTGGGTTGATCCTGTTTCCCTCATCCATGCATTTATTTCCCCAGTGGAACTGATCATCTCATTGTTTTTCCCTAAGGGATTGGCTCCCAGGAGTACAGTCTGCTACACTCCTCCATGTGCTTCCTGGGGACACACGTGTGTACACTGAACAAGGGTGGAGAAGCATGGGCTTCCCAGCCATCCCCAGCACTGACCTGAACTCACATCCTCAACAGCCCATTCCCCTTGGGTGGGTTTCCCCAGGGAGATAAGTTTGGGTTAGCACTATCCCTGCCTGTGTGCATCCTGGAAATTTGCAGTTTGCTGGCATTCAAGGGAGCCCCAGGGGTAGTCTGCCCCACCTCTGTGCTAGCACACACTGGCACTCCAATGGGACAGTTAGCCCAAGGCTATCTGTTACCCAAATCCATGTCTCTCTCTAGGGAAACACAGACTGTGAACTGATTTCATCAAACCAAACCCAAGGTGGTCCTCAGAGATAAGGCAAATGCCCATTTGTGGAAACCAGCTCTTAAGCCAGGTTTTATTCTCTCCCAGTTCTGGCAGGCGCCACTTTTGGAAGGTGTACTTTCTGTAAGGAAGCTGCTATGTGTTACAATGCTAAAGCTTTTAATATCTTCCCTTCTAATTAGAGGTTAGTAGTCCAAAGATAAAAATAGACAGCTGTCAGCAGTGAGCTCACCATACGGCCGAGCCTAACAAGGTCAGGCAATATCCTGCAAAATGCAGGACAGGAATGGTCTCGTGGTTAGAGGTAACCTAAATTGCAAGCTTTGCATCTCCAACATCCCAAGAGAGGGGGATAAAACTGGTAAGAAATCTGGAGTGGGGACTTCCTCGTATACAGAGTGAGATACTAAGGACTAGTCTGCATTGGGGAAGGGAAGGAGCTGAGGAGATCACCAAATAGATATCCGTAATACAATGAATAATTCAAGAGTCTCCTTCAGCTTTGCTGCATGCTACAAGCTTATGGGTAGCAGCCCAACAATTCAGGGCTAGGAGAAGATTTGAGATATGAGAAGAGCATGCTCAGTAAGGGGGGCCCCTCCAGGGTAGGATGTTGATCTACAGAAGGAAACTACTTTGGTAGTTTGGTCCCTGCTGCTTGTTCCCTGAAACCCACATATCCCCCAAATGCAAGATAGGGCTGAGTTTGCTCCTCACCATTCGTCACTCCCACTGCTGTGCAGGCTGAACTTCTCCATGGGGTTGACGACAAACAGCTTGTCTTTCTCAGTCACCTCTGGGACTGGGGTGTTGTAAAGAGGATGCTCGAAGAGTGCTGCCAGCTTTGATCCCTTGGTCCACCCTGCATTCGCCTCTTCATGCTGCTGTTGGACCCCTGGCTCTCCAGCCCTTACGTGCAGCCCCACTCTCTCTGGCCGGGAACTTTTCTCCAAGGAGCCGTTGCTTCCACTGAAATCCTGAAGGATACGCAGGCTCAGCTTTTTGAGGCCAGCCGGCATGGGGCTGCCTGACGGGACACCCACAGCTTTTGATGCTTTAGTATTGCAGACACAGGACCTGTGGGTTGTGGGGAGAGCAAAATCCACCACCAGGTGCACGAGAAGGGCCAAGAACAGAAGAAAGAGAAAGCTGATTTTAAGTTTCCTCTGGAGAAACATTTGCAGCCGCCACCGCATCCTTCCACACAAAACACTCAGCAAGGATGGACACAAACACAAGGTTAAAAATGCTGGTGTGGCTGCAGCCTCTGTGCAAAAATAGGAGAGAGGTTTCCTGGATTCAGAGCATCCCAGCAAAAGACCAACTGGTGCACGGGCAGAGTGGCAGGAAAGATATGTCACCACGGCACCTCACAGTGTGACACCACCAGGATGGGACAGGAGGTTGTGGCAGGGTTTATCAGAGCTGATAAGGGTCAAGCTGGCACTGCCAAGGTTAGAGTGAACGGGACAAGTTCCAAATCAATAGCTGCAATGCTGGCTCAGGGACAGCAATGGCTGCAGATGACTCCCCACTGTCCTGTCTTTCTGTGCTGTCACCTGCACAGGACTGCAGAACATTTCTTTGAATACAGGGCATTAAAATGGTTCTGCCCCTCTGCAGCTCACACCCTGCCAAGCACTATGTAGTCCCATTCTCCATGTTCATCATAGCTGCACTCTCAGGATCCAGAATTTTTTTCCCACTGCTTGGCCGTATCAATTTTATCATCCTCCCTCATCCATTGAAAATCAGTTGCACTCAAGCCCCCTTTCAAAACTCACTCAAACTGGATAAATGAAGGGGATGTGAGTATCAACATTGCTGCAAGGGGAAATGCTGGACTGGCAGTGTAAGGAAGGGCTACCAGGTGAGTTTCAGGAGCAAGGATGTTCCCAGGGCCTCTAAAGCAGGTAGGGGAGGCAGGCAAGCAGGAGTGGGGACACTGCCTTGGGCATTGGCACAGAGGAGCGGTGGGACCCACCAAGTGCTGGGGAGATCTGGCAGCTTGTGGAAGGGAAGAGCATTTCTTTTTACAAGAAATTCACTTTTGCAGAGCCACCCAGGGACACAGAGCTGGGATGCGTGCACAAAAATGGTTCATGACTTTGATAAGGGACAGACAAGCACAGGACCACCTGCAATAAGTCTGGGGGCTGTGCTACAGTCTGGCACGATGTTTATTTTCTCTTTGCTCTTGCAAAGGATGCAGAAGGCATGTGAAATCCCGTACATCATGTAATTCTTCCTTGTCGCGAGATGGACCAGCAGCCAGCTTGGAAATGCTCACTCCCAGCCAGGGAGGGTACGATGATCAGGGGGCTATTCTGGAGACCCCCTCCTCTGCTGCCATGCCTGCGCTGCCCTCTCCGCACGGTGCTGTGCCGGCCCCTTCCGTGCGTGTCCCGGTCCCCTCCCAGGCGGCGCGCTGGGAACGCGCTGTCCCCGGTGTTCCTGGCTCGCGTGTCCCACGGCGCGACAGTTGCCTGGAAACCGCCTCCGGCTGACACCATCGCCGCCCCAGATTCAGCCAGCCCCGCGTTCCCCAGCCTTCTGCTGGCAAGATGGCCGAGGAGAGCCGGGGCAAGCGAGGAGGAGGAGAGCTTTCCGCCCGGCTGGCGAGCTCGAAGCCCCGCAGAAGGAGCTGGTGGAGGGGAGCAGATGGCTTCCCTGCGTGGAGGAACACAGCGTCTTGCTCCGGGAAGTTTGCTGAATTCAGTCCGGACACACGTTTCAGACAGAAGGCCCCTAGGAGGGGCTGTAGCTGGAACACGGGATCATTAGGTCATGGCTCAGAAAAACGGCAACCAACCAACCAAAACACCAACTCCCTGTACTAACTGATCGCATCAAAGGAGCTGGGCTCGGCTCCCAGAGCAGGGCCACAGGTTTCATTAATCCAGAGCCAGCCCTGAAGAGAAGCAGACCTCCTCATTCCAGTGCCCCAAACCAGCTCCAAACTGGGCTGGCGGGGACAGAAACATCCTTCTCATGTCCTGGAGTCAGATGAGCATAGGGATCCTATGGGCTGAAGCCACCCTACTGACTGTTAGTCCCATTCCCAGATAATGAAACTTGCAATCCTGCCTCCTCACCCTGATTTAGCATCCCATTGCAAAGCAAAGGCAGGGGGGTTAGGTGAGGCATTTGCCACCCTTAGCACTTGAATGCTGGCATTAAATATTAACCAAAAGATTTTTCAGCGAGTCAGACGTGAGCCTGCAGCAACAGAGAAGGGCTGGAGACCTTCAAAGTCAGCCCTGATCACCTGACTTGTTGCCATGACATCATCATAGAGACAGGGCTGAATTTGCACCTCTTTCTTCTCATCTCCCCCCTCCAGTTCTTCCTCCATCTTCCCAGCAGGTTCAAGTCACCCTTGGGGCGGAGGAGGAGCCCTACATCCGAGGACATTTTCACTGCTGGCTTCAAATCAGGACTCATCGGCAGCTGATAATGATGTTCCCATCTCCCCTCAGCAGGGAGGGATGAAGTCATGAGGCACAGCCTCTGAGCCGCTATCGCAGCTTTAGGGGACGGGTGGATAGAAAGTGTCATTTTGGCTGCCACCCATCCATCACCCTGCGTTTTTCATCTCATTTTCTACATCTGACTCAGCCTGATGCTTTGACAGGAAATGGCAGCAATATGCAGGGGGGCAAGAAATGAGAGGGAAACAATAGCAAGCAAACTGTTGCCAACTTTCCCAGCTTTCCACTGAAAATCCATAAGGAAAAAATCCTCCAGCAACTGAGAGCAGTTTTATAGTAAAAAGTAGAGAGGCCTTAGAGGCTCCAAAGCCTCATAGAATCATAGTTTGGGTTGGAAGGGACCTTTAGAGGTCACCCAGTCCAAAGTCCTTGCAATGACCAGGGGCACCTTGAACTAGATGGTATTGCTCAGAGCCTCATCCAACCTATCCCTGAATGCTTCCAGGGGTTGGGCACCCATCACCTCTCTAGGCAACCTGTTCCAGTGTTTCATCACCCCCATTCTAAAAGACTTCTTCCCTTCCCTATATCCAATCTAGAACAAGCCTCTTTTAGTTTACAACCTCTAACCCTTGTTCTATCACAACAGGCCCTGCCAAAAAGTCCCTCTCCAGCTCTCCTGTTGACATCCTTTAGGTCCTGGTATAAGGGCTCTCCAGAGCCTTCTCCAGGCTGAACAACTCCAACCCTCTCAGCCTGTCTTCATCACAAAGGTTTTTCAGCCCTCTGATCATCTTCGTGGCCTCCTTTGGACTGGATCCAGCAGGTTCATCAGCCACAGAGGGGTCTCTTGTGGGAAAACACAGGACAAGGTTCCACCTCTCATCCATAAACCTTACTCCTGTGAAAATTACAGGTATGCCCAAAGATGTTCCAGCTCCACAACAAAAGGAGGGTGAAAGTCTTTTTTCTAACACGCAGGGGCCAGCAAAGCATGGCTCAACGTGCAACAGGCAGGACAATGGATCTGACTGAACACTTGCCTCAGGGCTGGGGCTCTGACACACAGCCACATTTTGGGAGGCTGAGGCTTGTGCTTTCAGGTACAATGCCAATGACAAGAATGCAAATCAGCTAACAAGGGTTTGCCTCAAGGTGACTTCCTGTGGGAAAGCTGTTACCCTTATGAATAAAAATAGCCTGCCACTCTCCTGTGAGCCACCTTGCACTTACCTGGTGAGAATGGCAGTGTGGGAGCTGACTTGCTGCACATTCACACCTAGCTCACCTCAATCTGTTTGCACACTCGGGCTTTGAGAAGGCTGGGGAGCATTTACCCTTCCCTTGTTGCCAATGCAGGTCACGGAGACATCAGCTTTGATCAGCTGGTGGCCAAGAAGATAAACAGGCAGCAAGTCTAAGAGACTGTGTGCTGATGTCAGCAGCTCCCTGTCGTCATCTGCAGGTCACCACAACCCTGCAGAGATGCCCATGACCAGTGTGCCTGTGCATATGCACAGAGCAGTTAATTATTCATTAGCGTGAAAGAGGCACAATTAAAGTGACCGTGGTACGGCTGAAGAGACTTTATCTGTTGATCTGGATTTAGAAGAGACAGAAAGTTGCAGAAGAGGAAATAATCTTTTCCACCTGCCAGCTGTAGAAAGTGTTGCCAATAGCACTATCTTCACATAAAAGCAGCCAACTGGAGAGACACAGAGCAACTGCACGATGAGACAGCTCAGAGGATTTCACACAGCACAGCAATCCTGATCATGGGGCAGGAATCATGGTACCAACCTACCCTGGCCCAGCCAAGCACAGATGGTCCAAATTTGAAATAATTCTTAGTTGTCTTCATATTACTCCAGTTCCTGGCTCCCTGACACAATGAAATTGAGAAAGGACATCTCCAGCATAACACTTGAGGTTCAGAAAAAAGAACAAAAGGAATTGTAAGACCAGGTTGATCAACCACAGGCATTAATGCAGAAAGATCCTTCAGACTTAACTATGGACTAGAGATGTCAGCTTGCAACATTCTGAGGGGAAATCTGAAAATTAAGGAAGCTACAAATATGAGACTCCAAAGTCAGAGTTGAGGCAGCAGACACAGTTACATTCCCTTGCTGCTACTGCTTAGACAGCTGCCTGTCAAACAGGACAGAGGGACATGGCCAGCAGCACCATGGGCCCAGCAACCCTCCTCACCATGGTGGCTTGCACTGGTAAAAGGAATTGAACAGGGAGGATGAGAGTCACACAGGAAACCAGCAGGATGGAACTCTGTCACTGGCCTCTGCCTGTGCTACACCATGGCTTACTCATTTCCATGTTTCTTGAACTACTTTGCCAACATAAACGCACGCAAAGACATTTTACTAAACTTTTATTGTAAAAACACAGTTCCCCAGGTTTTATAAATACACCATACATGTAACATAGTTACGCTCATTCGATCCTCCAACACCAACAGCTTTCAAAAATGAAACAGGCTAAAAGAATGCAAGTCCAGAAAGACATTAGGCTTCTGATGACCAAGTTATATTTCACATGGATCCTCCTTTCTCTGTCAGCCTCCAAACAAGATGCTGAAAGTACACAGCACTTGCAACACCCCCAGGAACTGACAGGGAGGCATCTGAGCCTTAAAAAGAGCTCTCACCCACTCCCCAGGCATCGTCAGCCGCCTGTGTTTTCATGCTGTCTCAGTTGCTGTGGGTGAGAAAGGAGGGGGCAGTTTGCATAGCAACCTCCTACACCCCAGCAGCTCAGCTGTTGTACCCTCCCAAAACAGCAGGGAAGGGCAAGCTGGGACTGCTTCCCTGTGGCTCACACCTCCACAGACAGCCTGAAGGGAGACCCTTGGTGCTGTCAGGTCTGAGCAGACATCTCAGAAGAAAGGAAGAATGTACAAGCAGCATCCAGTGAGAGGAAAGACAGGTGCTGGTCAGAGCCATACTGCATGGTAGTTGAGAAAGCAGAGAGGAAAACTATGTGGAATAAAGGGGAGTTAAAAGAAACATAGGGCTAGATGGCACCTTCTTGCTTTTGCTTTCCCCTGCTAGTGCTGCTGTGCAGTGTGTTGTGAGATTACCTATTCCTCACTTCCCTCCTGCTCCAGCTCAAACACCAAGGAAAGAGCCAGACAGATGAGAAATCCCACAAGCAAGGATAGGACTGTTTAGCAAGATTATACACACACACACACACGCACCAGCTTTACGTATCCCACAGAACTGTTACGTCAGTATGAAAAAAAGAAATCTTGACATTTAAGTATTAAAAATAAAGCCCCACCTCCAGATCATACAAAACTTGTCAAAAGCAGGAAGAAATCTCTTGTATTCAAGCAAGTCTGGGACCTGGCCAGGGGTCAGGAGCACTTCCAGACGCACACGGCCAGGCTGCCACCAAAGAACATGTACAGCAGGTTCTTCACCTCGTGAGTGATCTCAAAGCCAAAACCTTCCCCAATCACCACATGCCAGGAGGACCCAAATTTCTTGTCCATGGTCTCTTTGATCATCTTGGCAGCGCTCTGGAGAATGTTAAGGAAGACAGCATAGGGTGAGACAAAGCAACCAGAGAGGTTTTATGCAAACATCCCCCAATCTTCTCCTCCCTTTAAGACTACTCATGCCATGGGCAACAGGTATAGCAGCCGCACCGCAGGACTTGGGAGCTCCCCAGAGGTAAACCCAAGGGTAGAACTGGTCTCAGCAGCCTCCAGCCCAGCAGCTAGAACTGCATCACTTCTCTAGTTCACACAGTCTGAAGCAAGAGCTCTGCTTCAGATGCTGCTGGAGTTATACTGGTTGCAGTGACCATGAGAGCAGATTCAGGTCACTA